TTAAAAGAAAAAAAAAAAAAGAAAATAATCTGGCCAGAGGCACAACTGGTGGAGCTGAAAGAGGTGTGGAAGGCGGGGAGAGAAGTGGGGTCACATGCCAGCACCAAATCTTGACTCCAACCCAAGCCCCTGTCACTCCTCGCTTTCCCTTCCGCAGAGTGCTGGGCCCATCCACACACCTCCGTGCCCTGGGTTCTATGCCATGGCTGAACCCCTTCTACACTTGGACAGTCATGTGCACATAATAAAATGGGTTATCCTAGCTCTGGGGCGATATCAGGGTTCCCAACATTTTTTTTAACCTTCCTGTTATTAGTCGGTTTCCTAGTTACTCAGCAGAACTAAAACCTGGCTGGCTGAAGCCTGTGATTATTCACCTATTATGGCTTGATTCACAGGGAACACCAAGCTTTACAGTAAATTAAACCCTAATAAAAGTACGGGCCCTTGTGCTTCAAGATCAAAAGTCAAACGTGTTAGAAGGAAGTGAAAAGTCAGAAGGCACAGGGGGCGAAATGATCAGATGCATTATGTCAAACTGAGCTGAAAAGCAGTCTTAACTCTTTCCCTTAAGAAAGAGGGAAGCTCATAGAAGAGAAAAGGTGTATTGCAGTAGAACATATGTGTTTATTTTTTTTTATTTTTTATTTTTTTTAAGATTTTATTTATTTTTTTGAGAGAGAGAGAATGAGAGACAGAGAGCAGGAGAGGGAGGAGGGTCAGAGGGAGAAGCAGACTCCCCGCCGAGCAGGGAGCCCGATGCGGGACTCGATCCCGGGACTCCAGGATCATGACCTGAGCCGAAGGCAGTCACTTAACCATCTGAGCCACCCGGGCGCCCAAACATATGTGTTTAAATGCTAAATGTCTAGAGACTAAAATGCAGATAAGAGTTCTTTAGAATCTAGACATAATTATTAAAAATGATTAGCTTACTAAGTCATTCTGTGAAAAAAAAAACAAACAACAAAAAACCCCCCAAACCAAAAATGCTTCCTTAGAAACACATCTGTATTTACCTTGAAATCCGAATTGGTAGTCAACATACAGTACGTGCTGGTTTCCACTTGTAAGCTAAACAGACGTCATTTGGTCTGCGGTGTATCATTTATTCATTCAGCAAACACAGTGTCAGCTGCTGAGCAGACAAAGGCCAGTGAGGCTTAGTCCCCGCCCTTGAAGAAGTAAAACTGAGTCCACAATACTGTGAAAATCACACACATGACTTTGGAAATCCTGGGGGTGGGGTGGGGAGGGGAAATGCACTTAGAGATAGAAATCACTGAATTCACGCACATTCTGGCACCTGCCTTTCCTCTGCTGACCATTTATCCTGCAGTCACCTGGTGGGCGGTGCCTGGCAGCACCAGTTAACCCACTGATGCATGTTGGGGTCAGGGAAAGGATGAAGTTAAGCTCTCACCCACATACCCCCGCCTCTATATGTGCACACCACATACGTATTATCCAAGTGGCCCTCCACTCTTGCCCATTTGCAGCCTTGCACAGGTTCCAGGAATGCCGGGCAAGCTGGGGTCCTCTAGCAGCCTCCCAGCCTCCCGACAGGGTGGTCCCAAACTATGTAAGAGC